ATATTATAATGATCATGTCATGAGTGAAAAAAATGTGAAAATTCACAATTAAAGTCGAAAATGAAGAAATGTATGTGCCAATTCACAATTAAAGTACTGACTTGATAGGTCCGTCTTTCTTTCCACGTGGGATGTGGCGGAGTGTGGCGAGGTTAGAGGTTCAACCCCCTCTTCCGTCGGCTGAAAAGCAGTCCTGCCGGGCGCTGGAGCAACAACACTTTCACTGTGATTTTAACGGTTACTGTCGCTGATTGGACCATATCAAACCAGCTCTTTAACGGGTAGCTACAACTATTTCTTTCTTAACCACAATTTTCCTGATATTACCCTTCTTCAATGTACGAACACTCTTTTACACTCCAAATTGGTTAAAATTGAAGGTGCATTTTTAAAATTACTTTAAATTACCCATACTTTCCTAGACATTTTTCAGTGCATGAGTTTTCTGTTCAAATTGTAAACTTGGAATTTACTTGCTGGAAACATTTCTGAGAATGGAATTGACGCTTGCTTAAACAACAACAAGGAATCAGCAAAGAAGACAACATTTAGGCCAGCAAAATCTACAAAAATGCAACACTTTTTTGTGTACATACCAGTGTTACATTGAGACTTTCTTTCCGGGATGACATCACAGTTTAGCTCATGAATACAGAAATGCTCATTAGCATAAAAACCAAAAATGCAGCAAAATACCCTTTGAAATAGTGAAACAAAAATTGAAAGTAAGGTTAACTGTGACACAAAGGTACATTTTTTTATTTGAAGGTCTGTTTTAAAGTAAACTGAAGCAATCCTTTAACTAATGGGCCTCGGTCCAATGAGGATTTATCTTGCTTTAGGTTTCACGTGATTCATCTCTTAAATGTTAGAACATGACATCTTGTTCTTGCAGAACGTGGAAAATGATATTAAAATAAAACGAACGAATTCAAGAGAATGGGACCGCCGGAATTGTCTCTTTTTATATACAGGTGTCATGATGCATGACCGTTCATCGCAAATCACAGGCGTTCTTACTTTGCCATGGCCTTGGCCTATAGGGTTGCATTGTTCATAGCACATGTATCTGTCTCACTGAAGGCATTATTAACATAACACGCAGACCTACCTGTAATTTTCTAAATTCTGGTTTTTCATGAACTGAAACAAACAGGATTCGAGGCGGTCCCTTTAACGACCGAGTCTGCATTTGGGCGCCGAATAGACTATTAAAAACGTACCGTACAGCTCCGAACGCGGGCGGGGGCACTTTCAGCAATCGCAGTGTCCACCAGCGAAGATGGCGATCGCGAAAAAGTACATCTTGCTTTTCTCAGTTTCCTTGCACGCGCTGTCCGTGAAGACTTTTATCCAAGCCCGGGAACAAGGGGAAACGCCAGACACGCCCATGCCGACAACACCGGAGTATCCCACACCATCAAGCTCTTCGGGCACAGGGAATGAAACCGGCTCAAGGGACATCTACGGTAATGATTTTTATGACCGCGGCTATTGCTTGCCTTTAGGCTCAACACAATCAGCCATTTTTCATGTATCTGCTACTGCCGGTGGCAGTGTAGACGGTAAATCTAACGGGTCCGCCGGTAAAAGTATCTAGGGGACAGAATTACCTGTAGGTAAAAGTGTCACCATATAGGACAAATGTGTCCACTGAACACTTTAACCGGAGTGCGATCCGGTAAGTGTGGGGGCCGGGACACATTAACCGGGGGCAGACTTACCTTTTACACCGGTCGTAGCAAAGTAATTCGGACAAGGCCTATTATTGTGATACCAACTTTTTACCTTTGATTGTTTAGCTTATTATTTTTGTTACACGTTTAGAACCTCAGTTTGTGACGGGCAAAATCCAGCGTCCGTCTGTTTACAGTTTAGGATTTCTGACGCTTGAGTTCCAGTCTTCCAGGGCTCCCACTAAGAAACTGCCAAAAAGGCATTATTAAGCAAGACCGACCAAGAAATGTCCTTGAAAACCTCAAATGTATAATGAAATCTATTCGACTAACTTCTGAGAAGATTTTTGTTCTTGATCAATATGATCGATGCACGTGACATTATAATACTGCCGCGTCGTGCAGTTCTTAGGTGACAGCATTTGAAGTGTATATTTGGCATGCCATATATTACTAATATAGTGACTGATACTGGGGTCCAGGCCACACTGAAGTACAATGTACTGTGTGTATTGAAAATACCCCTACCATTTTCCACAATCCTTGCCGGGTCCTGCTCAGGCTGAGACAGTGTACAAGAAGGTAAATAACGAAAGGTCATGCCCGTGGATTTCCCCAAAACGTAATAAATAGGCCTAAGTTACCCATCACGGTCAACAAACGATGCTTTTACGGCAAAACACCCTTTTATACGAAACTTGGAATTACGTGAAACATGCTTGTGTGCCGAGTTAATAAGCGAGGCTCGCCAACATTGATAGCACGCATTCAAGCGAGCGTGATTTCCCTTAAATAAAACAAACTTCACCGCTGCAAATGTGCAGGTAAGAAATTCAATAGCCCGTCGATACGGAATTTGTATCTGACGTGGAGCAAACTGTACACGAGTGCCATCAAGCAGTTCAAACCACTTGCTTCCATTCTTCGAGCCCCCTACCTTTATGAAAGCCAAACTAGGCCGATTTCCCACTCCCCTTCTTTTGCGTCCTCAACACAAGGTTGCCACGTATATTCTAGCGCCTGTTATAATGTATCACCAGCACGCTTCCTATCGTGATATCATGCAACTTAAGTCTTGTCTTGTTTATTAACGGCGATGGGTGATTGGACCAGGTGAATAAATCCCACGTGGTTCCTCGGGCAAGAGGACTTCATGGATCAGTCTGTTTTACGCATACATCAACCATTTTGCTTCCAATTCTCTGCGGTTTAAGTATGACGTAATTTCAGTCACACTGAACCATTGGAACCAGAAGTCAACGCACGACTTGAGTGTTCATCCAATTTGAGCTTAATATCAGTGGTGCATGCGCGTGTACAAAACTAAAACAATAACTCCGACCTGGGGCCAATTTGACAGACCTGGTTATGCACAAAAAAAATTGCTTAAGCGTGAAAAAACCTTGCTTGACAAATCAGGTTACCAGCCAAAACTCCACGTGATGTAGGCCAACATTTTTTTTGGAATGGTCTTCACCTATCTTTTGGTTAGCATGGCAATCACATAGATTGATAGATGGAAGAGAGGTTTTTTGCGCTTAAGCAGATTTTGTGCTTAAGCAGCTCTTTGAAATTGACCCTTGCAGTGTTCAAAAATCACTTGCAAAAGTTAGAACCCGAAATCATTTATGAAGTCTTTTTTTTTTGACAAATCAAGGGTAAACATTCTGCAAACGTGGCTGCCCCTCAACTTTTGTAAACAGAAGAAAGGTCTACATGGAACAGAAAGTTTTCTTTTACTTTTGTAGGTGCAAAAGTAAATAACATTTTACTTATTAGTAGTATGCTAACCATACATGCAGATGGGGCATAGATTTGCCTTACGGTAAACACTGCTACAAACTAGGACCATGCTGCAATGGAAACGTGTAGATACATGCATTATGAAATACATTTTCTTTTTACAGAATCACTGACCTTAATTGAACTGGGCGGTACATCGGTTGACATCTGCACCCAGCGTCACCTTTGCAGCAGCCTTGGTTGTAGTTTCCAGCCGCATATGGCCAACAGCTCTTCGGCCGCCCCGTTGTGCCAATGCGATGGACTTTGTAACTTCTTCCATGACTGTTGCATAGACTACGAAGGAACGTGTATGACAACGGCCAACGATGAATTTTCGACTTCCCAACGTTTGGGAAAATTAACGGTAAGCTTGAAATTGTGTAAATATCGTTGGAACAAGGATAATAGCCGTAATAGAATATCTCGTGTCTGCATGCGTAGGTTTTTGAGACTGTTTACTGAAATTATGTAGGAATATAACACAGCAAACAGATGTGAACATGGAAACGAGAACGGATCAAAATAAGTGCATCGCCACACGGCATGCTGCAGCCTTAACTTAGTAAAATGTAATTCGTAAAAACGATTTGTTTATAAAAACAGCGCCAATGTTTCTTAATATAGATCACATAAGAACGAACTGGATAATTAATGTCTCGAACAAACGATCTTTGGAAAAAATATACTCGTAAAACCGAAGTTAAAAAAATTCTTCTAAAAATAGACTTGGAAAATTATTCTGCACTTTTTGAAAAAGTATTACTTTTGGGCTTTCGTACCTTATACGTTCGACAGTTTCACGTTTTATTTCGCAGCTTGTTGATTTCAAGTGCAACGTTGAGAGATTCCAACAGTCTGAAGGATACTACGTCATTGCCGTTTGTCCCAATGACAATCTGACTGGCGAAGAAGTCTTACGGCAACGGTGCGAGCAAATTGACACGGACGATTTTCTGTCAGAAATTCCAGTTCTGGGCGTGAAGAATCATTTCCCGTACAGGAACGTGTACTGCGCCCTCTGCTGGCGGGAAAATGTAACGGATCTGGAACCATGGTCCTTGACTTTTGAGTGCACCCAAGTTTCTTACCAGGAGGAGGCCTTTGATCTGTTGTCATTATCCACGTCCAGGGAGACGCTGGATATAATAAGGTACGAAGTGGGGTGCATATTGGTCAAGGAACCGCCGGGTAGGGCTGGCTCTGCTGTCAGAACCTGCTACCTCGACGCGAGAGCAGAATGCCCGATCGGTCACCCACTGGCACCGCTCTGCTCGTCGTACACAGCTCTCACTGCGACCGTCGACTTTGTGTCTCGAACTCTTTACAAGAACCCGCACTGTTTGATATGCAACAACAATAAGACTATAGATTTCGTTGATTGCTTACGGAAGTATCCCGTATTGGTAACCGACGACACCTTATATAGACCGCCTGCACCCGCCCCGCAGTTCCCCGGGCCTCCTCCAATTTCGATCGTCTTTGACTTCCGATCCGCAGGTAATGTCAAATTGGTGAGTGAAGGCAGAGTGGTGGTCAGTGAGGTCCCTGTCACTTGTTCAGTGAACGAAGTGTACGACCCATTTCTTTCAAGATGTCGCAGGCTGACGTGTGCGGATGGGTATGCTTTGGAAGGGGAACGCTGCGTTCGGCTGGCGGGAGATATCCACGTATCCGGCCAGGAAATGATCACCTACTTCCACGTAGCCGCCTGTGCCGACCGCCGGACTGCTGAAGATCCACTGGAGGAAATTATCAAAACCTGTCTGGATGACCTTGTACAAGTTAACAGAAGTCAGATGGAAATTTCAACGATGGATTCGGAATTGCTCCAATCAAATAACTGCTTGGGGCAGCCAGGAAAGAGGCCAGTTGTCTTTGCATTCATGACTCGGTTAAAACGGGCAGCTTTTCAGGAGGTTCATCAGAAGGTATTGGCAATGGAAGGCCGCACCTTTTGTTCTGATCTTGCCGATACCACATCGATCACTTCTATGGAAATTCTATACCACGACGCAAGCTTATCGCTGGCAAGGTGCGCCGGGAGGTGGCAGAATGTAACGGCCGATAGTGATTTGGCAGTCCCCAGAAACATGACCATTTGGCGGGAGACATTTGATTGGCTAACGCGACAACCTCCAGCGGCCATTTCGTCGCCTCCGTCTCAAGTCCAGCTCTGTCAGAATCCCGACCTCAGTTGTCTGCTTGAGACTTTCAATCGTTCCCTGTTTCTCCCCGCCGGTGACGACGAAAATACCCTGGTTTACATGCCCACGCGGGCCGTTTTTAATCGAGACAGTTACATAGAAACTGCCGACGGCGAAATCCAAGTTTGCTCCTTCAACGAGCAGAACGGAACTCGCAATATCACCCAGACTTTTACTTTCTTCCAGTACTCCCTACCGCAACAAATTCTCAACCTCACTGCAAACATAGTCTCGATGTTGGCAGCAGTCGTCACTTTCGTGACATTCTGTGTCTTCAAGAAGCTCCGGAATCGCACCAGCGGGCCCATCCTGAATTTCACAGCGGCGCTCTTCCTCGCCCAACTTCTGCTCCTGTTAAGCGGCGTGGCGACCCAAGCTCAGGCCGCCTGCACCATCGTGGCCCTGTTGGCGCACTACTTTCTCCTTGTCTCTGTCATGTGGACTGGAGTCCTGGCCTTCATTCTCAACCGCACGTTCACGGCGTGGAAGAACACCTGTCGAAGCAGAAGCACTGGGGTTTCCCTGGCGTCGCTGTCATTTGCCTGGGGTGTGCCGTTGTTGATAGCACTCCCTTGTTTTATCCTACACGTCTGCGACTGCACAGATCTTCCCCTGTGGTACGGAAATGAACACGTGTGTTGGATCGGCAACGGTTATGTCAGCATTGTTGTGGTAGGCGTTCCCATCGGGGCTGTGGTCTTGACAAACATCGTCTTGTTTTCTCTCACCGTCTGTGGGATCAGGAAAACAAAGAGAGATACGCAACACGTACTCAGCAACAAGCCTGAAATGCAGCAGATCGTGGAAGAAGTGGTTATTTACATCAAGGTAAATGAATTTCATCTCCCTTGAATAGGCTGCCAATTTAAATCAACTCTTAAAGTGCGTGTGTAGGCCTATCTTTATATAAAATATTCAAACGAAATTGACCTTGCATTATTTCACTCAATCCCATTTGCCATCTTATATACTGCGCATACCTTTTTAAAAAGGTACTAAAGGTCTCAGTCAAATCATTCTGATATGAATAATTAACTATTTAGATAACAGTCTCTTAATTCATCACTTCTACTCTGTGGCGTTTTATTCTTCATATACGCCTCACAAAAGATCTTTGGTCGTTGCAAGTTTTACACATGACCGATGTTTTGGGCCATGTGTGAAAGTTTCGTTGAAATCAATCAAATTAAAACGCAGATTCCGAGCAAAGTTTTCTCTCTTAAGCTTTGGATCTCTAAACCTAAACTGTCAACATCATTTACCCTGGTTTTGGGATGGTTGGTTCTAAAGGTTGTGGTGACTTCAGTTTCAACATTTTGCGTCCCCTCATTAAACCAGATAGCCACCCTCATGGGATTCACATGGATCTTTGGTTTTGCGGCGGCTATAAGTGACGTCGTCGCCCTGTGGTACGTCTTCATCCTCCTCAACTCAAGCCAGGCATTGTACATCTTCTTCGCTTTCATTTGCAACAAGAAAGTCTGGTGTTTCTGGAAAAGAACCGCCCGGTCGACGTGTGGTCCATGGTGCGGAAAGAGGCATGATGACGGGTCCGTAACGAAACAGTCGCAGACCCTTGCAGGTGCTAAAACATACGATACCGGGTTATAGGAAGTGTTCGGGGGACACATTTACCTGGGGACGGTTTTACTTTTGACATAGGCAACTGGTGCCGTGTTGTTACACAAACACGCACCGACTCGAACCTCGTTGCAGATTACATTGTTGCGATAGGGACCTTGCTTTGTCAGGAATGAAAACAATAAAGAACAAAGGATTAGATCTAAAATTTTCCTTGTAATAAGCATAATACTGTACAGTGCTTTTATTAACGAGGATTGGCTGTATTTTGCATTTCTTTATGGGCAAGTCCGCATTAAGTTTGTCTTAGGCTCTAGTCTACGGAAGCGCTTTATGACATGACTGAAAAAAAAAAACTGCTCAACTATTTCTCTCTGGCAGATTATTTAGCCAAAGCGGATTACTTTATCGCCAGGGTGGATTATTTCGCCTGTGCCGATTACTGTCGAAATGGTGGAACAACAGACCGTCAGGGCGAAAGATTAATCGGCCTTGAGTAGTAATCCACCTAGGCAACTTAGTGCTCCTTTTTGTAGCCATGTCCCCAATGCACTTCCGTACAGGTGAGCGGTTCTTTCCTGGCTCGCTTTGCATCAATGAGGCCCGGGTTCGAGTCCCAGCTTGGCCCAGGCTTTAAGTGCATTTGGTTTCCAGTCCATCCTCGCTCTGGCAGGTTTTCTCCGGGTACTCCGGTTTCCTCCAGCCTCTAAAACTGGACCTTCTTCCTAACTCCGCAATGTGGTGCTGATTAATAAAGGTTATGAATAAACGCATAGTTATTGGCACAAATAGCCTGAGTAGCTGAAAGCGCCATTAAAACAACAAGAAAGTTTCTGGACTACTTAACACCTGTACATTTCATGACGCTGTTAAGCTGATGGTATAAGCCTGTTATAAGGAAACCAAGCCAAACTGTAAAGCTCTAAATATGAATATTAATATAACAATCTAAACACGCGCCACGAGGCGAAATAATTTTCATCTACACTCTAAAAACTCCTGGGTCAGATTGACCCGGAATTGCGTCCCATTCGGCGTGACCCTTTTCAGGGTCAATTAATGACCCAGAAAAGGTCTAATACGACCCGAAAGGGAGTCTTTTTTACTCAGAAGAGGGTCACGCCAATTGAGTCAATCTGACCTGGGAGTTTTTTGAGTGTATAACAACATTTTATTTGAGCAGATTACCGCTACAGTTTGTAAAAAAAAAGTAGAGAGATGGCTTATAAAGTCAGAGACAATGGGGAATTTTGTAAAATTAACATAAATTCTTTTCCATAACACAGAAATAAATCTTCCTGTTAAAATAGAAAAAAATCAGCTCAGTTATCCAAACTTTAACTCCCGAGTAACGTATATGAACGCCGCCATGTTGCATGTTGCTTGCCACTGAACTGCCAGCAATAACCAGTTGTTTGTTTCTGGCGTTTGACCTACGAACAACAAAATCGAGCTGTTCATGAACATACGAGAACAAGCCACCCGAACTCAGCCGAACGTTTTAAAAGGAAGTATTTCATTGCTTCGCTGCATTTAACGGCAATTTGACAACTATAATTCACTCAGAGGGGCGACAATATTGTCTGTTTATTTCCGCCAATAGAGGCGTTTCACCATAGTGAGTGCGCCTCCAAGAGGTTTGCAATGCGTTGGGAAATTACAATGAGCGAAATCTATCGACCCTGTGCGCGTTTGGAGATGGTCGACAAATTTCGCGCGTTGTGATTGGCCACTGCGTTGCAAAACCCTTGGAGGCGCGCTATTGTGAATCGCCCGTATTCGAACCGGCGCTGAACCAAGCCCAACCTTCGGATCTCGTACAGTGGGAACAATGACGTCACAGAGGCATAACAAGTCGCGAAAACGCTTAACCAAAGACCCAAGCTGAAACAAGTTCATGGTTCTGGTCGCCCTGACCATTTCAAGATGAAGTTTATATTTTCCGCTGGCCCACTGTTTTAATCAGGTAATACCACAAATTAGGGGTCCAAAAGTGTGATATTATTTTTGATGTCCCTGTTAATACATCTGACCTTTGTTATTTGTCGTGGAAATATCACCAGAATTGATTTCAAATTATTAGTATTTGTTCGGCAGTTAATTTGCATTAATTCAGCACTCTTGGAAATTAAAAAAGGTGTTCTGAACTTACAAAATCACACGCCAGATGTGACAGGGACACAAAAAAATGGACCCCTAATTTCTAGAATAACTTGATAGTGTGTGTCGTGAAACATTCAGAGGGATGAGGCCACGACCTTGACGAGGGAAGTCTCGGAAATTTAACGACCTCACACCTAAACTTCTGGGAACAATAGTGACAATCGATACAGTCTGTCCCGACAAAGAGTGTCATTCTCACTATTTATGAAATAAGACAGAAACAAAATCTTTCTGGTTTTGTTGTTCTTTCGTACTTTATGGACGTCTTAATTTTGGGAAGAGGTGGTAACTTAACAACTTGACGATCCCATTTGTTTGTGAGGGATAGTCTAATATGTTGAAACACTGCCTGGTATGGATGTATGTAAATTTGATGTAAATGTGGTAACCAGTTGCATAAGCACTGTATTAATGCTAATTGTTAACGTATGCTTTGGAGCTATCTTGGGTACGCTATACTTGGCTATATACATGTACTAAATTTAAATTACAGTATCGTAAACACTGTATACATGTACATTTTGTTGTGGCAGAGTTTACAGATTGATAACGGATAAACATTGTTAAATGATTATATTTATTCACATATACCTCAGAAAGTCTCCCTATCCAACAACGTGCAATTTGACAGTGAAATAGCATTGATAATGCCCACTGAGAAGTGATAATGCCCGCGGTGTAAATCACGTGCTGGCGCCTGGATACGAGACCATCTAATCGATTCTGATTGGTCAAGAGTTTGTGTGCCCCTGGCTCGCCACGCGCGCGATAAGTCCATATAAGGAGATTCTTTTGGACTACTACAACATAAAATGGACAGGGGTGTTCGGAAAAGTGAAAGTAAGATTCTACAACAAAATCGTCGGATATCCGTCATATATAGACTTCTTTTGACTCTCTGGCTAAAAAGGTATCTATGAATGGGACTGAATGTGCTTGGCCGGTCGACTCGGGAGACTGATTGCTGATAATGCTCGAGCTTCAGGCGAGGGCGTAAGTTGTGTCAAGACCGGCCAAGCACACATTCATTCCTTTAATAATAACATCAGAACATTTATAAGACGCACAGTATCCGCCATTTAAGGTCATAAACGCACAAATAATTATTATTTTTTCTGTTCAGTGGTGTTTCGATCGGTTACGCCCACCTCTGGACGTGTATGACATCACGCACATTACGTCACGCGCATTACGCATGAAGCAAGCGGGGCGTGACACTTATATTAAATTCATTAAGTTGTAGTGCTGGGCTAAACGTTAGCCGATTTACTGTTTCCCCAAGTAATTTAAAGTGTTTAAGGTAAGCACTGGGAGATCTACGTACTGCCGAACTGTATGCGCTTATCCTTCGTAGCATATTTTATTCATGAAAATATTTTCCCTTTTAGTATATACAAGTACATTGACTTCACGAGTTTTTTGACCATGATTTAATTAACCTGTAAAGTACAAAATGACTGAAGGTTTGAAGATCGATAAGTTCCAGAACGATTGAGAGTTTATTGGACCCTTCGACTGTTACAAATTGAACCTTGATGTCGGTTTTATGGCAGTTAGTGTGTACAATTTCCCGCTATATTAATATAACTATAAATCTTAGGTCGTCCAGTTCGACTGCATCTGCTGTGAACTGCATCTCTTAAATGAACCGCGAGTTGTTGCTAAATGAAATGATGGACGCTGTGTCCGGTCCCAGTGAGTAGGTTTGAATCTTCTCAGTGTTCGATATGACACGCGCGTTGTAACGATTGGATCATTATTGTTAAAATCATGACTTTGTTTGTTAATTGAAATGACTTTGATGCAGCAATTCTACCATTAATGATTTATCCAGACGGCTCGGCTTGATTTAACGCATAGTCACCCAAACGTATGCCACTCAAAAGTATGTCCATATTTGTTCTTTGCAGAATTGAATGATTTTGATAAATTATTCAAATAAATCTTCACACATTAAACACCGGATGCAATACTCTTAATTCATCTTGAGCCTATCACTTGGGCTCATCTGAACATTTCATAAGACTGTCTTAGGCTGCATCCGAATCTCTTGTCTAGAGCTAGGTCTCGGTCTTCGCTCCATTGGAAATGCGTGGAGACGCGCAGACAATAGACCTAGCCATAGCTCTGGAAGCCCGTTTCGGACACGGCCTTGACTTTCTGGGGAGTATACCCGCCCGATGTTGCCATTTCAGGCACAAACGGCTAAACATAACTACATCTGCTCTCACAGGTACCCAGTTATTCTTGGATGGAGAGAGGCACATGGGGGTGATTTGCCCAAGGTCACAGCATGCAGCCCCCACCCCATGGTCGGAAGCGACAAACCTCAACCATTCGGTCACTAGACTAGATGTGAATCCAGGATTCTGTGTGCATTTTACAAGGACCTGCAAAAGCCAAGGAACGGATCCAGGGAGTGGGGGTAATGCCCCCCCCTTTAGCTTACTGCATTGTTTAGTGTCTTACTACATCTAAAGGTTGCAAGCCTCTCGAAAGCATGAATCCTCTAGGCGTCTTATTTGCATGTTTGGTTAAGAACAAAACGAAAAGATTTAATGGCTTCAATAACGAAAAATGCAGTTTAAAAAATCGAACCCTGGTATAAAATCTTGGATCCGCCCCTGAAGCCTTCCTGTAATTTTAATTAAAAAAAAGTGTCGATGGAATCTTGGAAAGAAGTATATTCACAATTTGATCTATGGTTCGGTCAATGAGATGTTTTTTGGTTTTGTTTTGGTTTTGTGTGTTTTTTTAATAAGTTTCACTTCATTAAGGTGGTACATGCTAATTTAGGTACGCAATTTTTATTAGTTGGATTACGAACCTATCTACTGCGAATAATGCAATTAAGGAAACATAATAAAATAACAAAGTGAAATTAATTTTTTTCAAGGGCTGTTTTGAAAAAAAAATTAATGTGCTAAATTTAATTTGTTTTCTCCTCCAACCATGGATAATTGTGGGAAAAAATGGAACATAATTATAAGAGAATTTTTTTTAAAAATTTTGCCCTCAGACCCTGCAAAATTGTATGCCATGTTCGTAATCCAATAAACAAACAGAATGCTGACCTTACACTGTTTGGTTATCACCATTGGCAAATTGCCTTAATAGTCTCTGATAATTCAAATGCAAAGAAAGATTCTCATGGATATTCTAAGCAAGTCGGGTGCACCAGATATCTTTGTATGTAAATAAATTAGTTTTAATACGGGCGATTCACAATAGTGCGCCCCCCAAGAGTCTGCAACGCGTTGGCCAATCACAACATGCGAAATTTGTCGACCCTTTTCAAACGCGCATTGGGTCGACAGATTTCGCGCATTGTGATTGGCCAACGTGTTGCAGACTCTGGGTGGCGCACTTTTGTGAATCGCTTGTATTGCAAGTGCACCGCACACTTCGCTGTGATACCTCACTGTGTGTGTGTGTGGAATGGTAAGATATGTTGGGGGCAATCAGTCGATATGCAGGATTATTTGATCTGTCTCCATCTTATTGTATGCTCTCCGCATAACTTGGCCTTGAGCCAATCGACGTTTCTTTCTTATTCCCGTTTCTGAAAGACTGTTTTGAAAAGAAGTGAAATCAGCAATTTCATACAGGATTGACCTGCCTATAGCGCAACACAATCGGGGCATTGTCCTGATCGACTGATCGCATCGAACCCAACAAATACATTTGCACGTTTTAATTTGTAAAATGATTGTTAACAGCATGTGAATGAAAAGCACCCTGCTAACCAGCTTGAAGTTTGATTCGAGGACCAGTAAGACTTGCAAGAACTGAAATTAAAACGGATCAATTGGAGTAGGCTGAACTTTTAGTCATCAGATGATGAGCAGTGCTGAGTAGAGACAAATGACAGAATCCATCGCTGGAATAGTTTTTACCAGCTAGGCCTACATGTGACTGTGCCATAAACAATGTATGGCTCATTGCACAATATGGGACATCAACAGAAACACGTCGTATTCACGTAAAAATTTGTACCTGCAAAAAAACCACTATCACATATCTGGTAACTTCAACTTCAAGGAAGAAAAAAACCTCTCCCTTAGAGTGGTTGTGTCAACAACCAAAAATAACATAATTCCAGTTTGACATGCACTCCAGCTGAAATTCTGTTTACATTTAAGGGATCAAAGTATAATATTTTGGATAAGAAAGACCATATGGGAATTTCTTGATGTCGGCTGGAATAGAGCAAGCATTGGTGAGAAATGCATGAAGCCACTAATCAGAGGCTTTCCACTCATAACCAGTGCAGTCATTCTGACACAGCTTTCATTTTGATAGTAAAACGAGTGCAGACGAGCGTTGGCACATATTATATTATGGTACAAGATGAATTCAGGACAAATTAAATAATGTGGTTGCTTTATTGGCAGGGAAAGCCTGAAGTAAAATTGCTGAAGTTGAGCCCATCCGGTAACGAATCCATTCAAAGGGCCAGTGAGAAGTAACAGGGTACATCACCAATGGAATTTCAATCAGAGTACGGACTGCGGAACTCTTCCAATCACTTGCTGCCTCAGAGTGATTTGTATGTATGTGCTATGATTTGTTGTGAAATTCTTTGGCATGTATTTAAGGTTTTAATGTATGGTCCATGCTTTTCTAGACAACCGAGGGCGCTGCTGCTGTGATGCTGCTTGAGGAAGGCAGTGTTCAGAAACAGGCATTCTCCGTTCCACTTGTGAACCCAAATTTTACCATTGGATTATTTCTAATAAAGGGTTTCTTGTTGGCTTTTTTGCCATGCACTGACATGACAGTGAACCAATTCCAGCAAATCTGTGTACACAAATCAATACATGTACAACATTGAATCTTTATGCCTGGAATGACATCATAGTGCTGTTTATGAATACGGAAATCTAATTAGCATAAAATGAAAAAGGTACCAGATTACCTTTCAACAAGGAAAATAAACATTGAAAATATACTGAGACAAAAAGTTTGTATTTTCAACGGTTCTATGAAAAAAACGGTCCATTGGAAAGACCCTTAATAGTAGTCAAACCTGGTTTTGGCGGACCGCCAGAATTCAGAAAGTCGCAGGTTCAAATGCTGCTCCAGTTAATATTTTTTGTTCTTTATCATGATTAAAAACCTGGTTTATTTAGTTCACTTCAGGCCAGATTAAATCCTATGCCATTTCAACATCGTACTCTTGTCACAGCCAAGTGCCCAATAGGGTGTCCCTCGCTGACAAAAAAATGACCCAACGTACGTCCGCCATTGTTGCAAAGCCCATAGCACTACACACTGTATTTACATGTACAAACATGGCATCAGTTCTAAAAGCTTCCTAAATGGCAGAAAGTATGAGAAAAATACTAGTTACTAGGCTGGATTGACATGATAACGGCGACTGTCCATGGCACAATGACCATTATGCTACCTGAAAAGAATTTGTAGTAATTTTATGCAGAAAGGAGCCCCCTTGTCAAGGTTATGATGTAGCACTGAGTTGCTAACTAAGCGCTTGCCTTAGGTGATGGCGGCCGATCTTGGAAAACCATGAGGTCACGTGGTCCTTCGACATCTTTCCATTGGATTCTATCCTCTCCTTTTCCCACTGGTAACCCATCGACTCAAAACTCATCAACTCACAACTCATTTCTCCTGAGTCTCAGCCCCTTCTGTCGAGGGTGGCTGTACGTCTGTCTCTGGATCAAAGAGGAGTATCTCATGTTGATTCCACTGTTGGATGTGACTGTCGAAGTCCTTGCCGACCGTCCACAGCTCCTCCAGGTTATAGAGCTCTCTTGTTTCTTCCAGCATGAAGTGAACGACAGTGTTCCCTGTCAAAACATAAAAGAGATAAATTCAAAGGGTCCAGGCAATAAGGTTTTCTTAGAGACAATATTTTGGCATCTTTTCACTCTTCTTTGAGGTATGAAAATAATTTGATATCCTTTTGGGGTTAAGTGTGTCGAAAAGTGCATTTTTTCACCATTTAAACTGTCTGTGATTTTCTAAACAACAGAGGGCACTGTTGCTGTGATGTCAGTCAGAAAAGATACTGTACAGTAATAGGTTTGTTTGTTTGTTCATTGGCTTATTGCTATGTATGCAAACACCAATGAATTACCCAAGACAAGGAAATGTGGAACAGCAAAATATCAAAAATTCCAGCAGTTTTTATGTAAGTAAATGCAACATTGACGTTTTCTCCCCGGAAGGAAATCACAGTTTTGAGATTAAAATAAGGTTAATTGAAACACAAAAGTGCATTTTCAAGGACTGTAGTGAACAATACATGGCATGCAAACTTTGAAACAAATCCTGTCTACAACAGGACCAAGTCAGGCATGATATTTGATCCAAAAGGAAATATAAGCAAAAGCTTCCTGTAGATCTGTAGGATGTTGAAAATTCTTTAATAAAAGAAAACAAAAGAAACAAAACTAACAGTCATGGAAAGAAATCTGAAATCCTGAGAAGTCAGGAAAAAATATCAATGCAGCTGAGCACCCTTATGGATTGGCCAGGATTACTCCCTCACCTGTAAAAGAACTGAAAAGGTCCAAGCTCGATCGGTGACCATAATGACAACTGGTGGTCGAATCTGCCCGATACCCAGTATATCTCTTGTGCATAGGTTTACCAGGGAAAAATCGACCAGTGCTCGACAAATGGTCACTAATCGAACACTATACCAGGCAAGATATGGGACGGAGGGGTACCCCCCTTACCTGTCCAATCCCTAC